TTAGGTGCTGAATCACCTTGGGCGTTCAGCTCACAACCCTCTGCCCGCTTCACCAGGAGCTTAGGGCAAGCCTAGCCACCCCACTCAGGCTTCTCAAACTAGACTAGAAGCAAAGAGTGGAAATACTCTTCTCCCATCTGTGTCTGTGTTTACAAATGAGACTCCCACACAACTCCTTTAATTAAATTGATCAGTTGACCATGGTGAGTGGCTACACTGAATCTTTTAACTTCTTATGAATTCATGATACAAGCAGTGTCTCTGCTTGACCATTAATTTAAATACTCATGCAAAATCTAGGATTACTTGATGCTTTTCTCTCTTTCATGCAGGCTTATAATGACCTTAAAGGCATTAACTCAATGTGAGGTCACAGAATTATTTTAGCTGCGGATCAGTTGCTTAATAACAGTTTTCTCAGAGCCGTGTAATCATGCAGGCTGTAAGGCTCAAGTAATTCTTTCATTTTCTGCCTACGTATTAATGGAAGTAACCGCTCCCGTGCACAAAAAGGAGAAATGAGTTAACGGGAGATTTTCAGTACTTGGGTTTACAGGGTTCAAAACATACAGAGAAGCATGTATCTGCAAAATTAATCAGCTATTTCTGAAACTGCTTTAGAACTCAAATGCTATTTGAAAGTCAAACATCAACATAGTCACCTCTTACATAGTACAAGCAGGATCTCACAGGATTTTACCACTAGTAATTAATGGCTTGTCTTTGACTGTATCTTAAGTCAATTAAATAAGTTTATAGGCTGCAGTAGGCAAAAGCTAATAGATATATTTTAGTCATAATTTTTAATAGATAAAAATTTAGTCTGATTATAAAGCGAACTTTCTCCTGATGAAATATTAAATGTTCCATAAGCAAAATATTTGATCTTGACATTACTGTGATGCTGCCTGTCTTTTTTAGTGTCAGAAATATTGATGATTTTAAATAGGACAATGCATGGGTAAAATGTTTTTAAAAAACTGCAAAACTAACAGAATGTGTTCCTGCCTCATAATAAACAATTGTTGAACGATGTTTATTAAAATTGGCTCTCAAGTGACAGTTAATAAATGCATAGTTCTATTATGCATGCTAAATTCAGCATTCTGAAAACTTAAAAGCAGATAGATCAAAACGACGGAGATAAAAAAGTCACAAGACAAAATACAGCAACACCAGTAAATGACAGGGAAATAATTCAGACTTAAAAATGACTTATTATTTAGTAACTTGTAACAACAATTTATAGAACTAAATTAGAGGCAAATCAGAGTCTTTCTGATGTTTTAGATATGCAGCTTCTCTCTAGTGCATATGGTTTGATCATACAGCAGAGGAATTCACATTACAAAGTCCCCTTCAAAAAAGCAAAAACCCCAGTTTCTCCCTGTTTCTGCTTCCAGGTTACACTTATTCATGGATAATGAATGAAGTAAAAGAAAGGGTACAATAAAATTCAATTATTGATCTATTTTAATTAAAGCCCCTAAACATATCTTCAGTACTTGGAGGAGTTAGACTTTGTATGTATGTGGTGCGTTTCTGTGTATGCTTCGTGTATGCCCAGACCATACCTGCACCGAACTGCAAATACTGGATTTAATGGGCTTTGTGTCCTTTAGTGTAACCACTCCATTTGCTCTTTGATGTGGCATAGGTTTGGTGTGATGCTGGAAAGAGTTGCTTTGACCATGTATTTCCACCTCTGTTTCTAAAAGGTGAAGGGCAAAACTTTTAATCAAGGAGCAGTTCATCTTTAATTATGAAAAATGTAATTAGGCATTATCACCTAATTGCTATTACTGATGGAGAAAGTCATATTTTCACAAGTAGTGACCCATGCTGTATTATCACTCTGCTGTTTACTGCATAATGAATCTGTATTTGTGTTTGGCAGCTAGCCAGCAAAAATGAAAAGGTAATCAACATGCTTCTCTGCAGTCCGGTCATCAAAGTCACCGGCTTCACAGATGAGTAAATAACAAAGTCAAGTTGTGATGTCCTAACAGAAACCCTTCTTTAGGAATAACTATATTTATCTCCTCTGTCAAGACATCAAATGATACTTGAAATAACCATATACAAAAAGCTTTGCAAAATAGATTAGAAGAACTGTGCTATACATCTGGTGTTGAGTTAAAAAACAGTTTAATGTCTCAAGGCACCACCACGGTAGTTTTATACCTGCAAGTAATCATCTAATACACTATTGTACAGTTAAGGTAATGTATTAATAAATAGCTTGTGCAATTTTGGGAAGCAATCTATAAAGGAATGTTAGATATACAGTAGGCACGTACTATAATATAAATAAAACCCAAAATTCCTAGAAAAAGCATGCTGAGCACCTTTTGGTATAGGTTGAGTTTCTTATTCTAAACACTACGTAAATCTTAACTTACAAAAGCTAAAACTGAAATCTTATAGTAACTGCTTATTTAAACTGATCTTCCTGGGTATTTGCCTCTATGTCACAGGATTACTCTTAGGGACAGAGGACTCTGGTACTGGCTGTAAAGGGCTATCTTGTTCATTCAGTTGTGCGTTCAAGTTTTCAGAAGTTAAGAGAGAAGAATTAAAAACTATTTCACTTAAGTCTGATTTTATGGATACGAGATGTGGTTCTTGAAAACTTAGTGGTTCTTCTACTAACACCTGTGTATTTTCTCGTGTCATTCCCATATCTGACGGTGACTTTCGCTTCATTCTTGTGTATGATTTGTCTAAATTCTCCATGCCTTGGTCAGTTTTCTGAAATCGCCCAAAGAACCAGATGAAGAAACCAAACAAAGCAAAAGCCAGCAAACTTGGAATAAAAGCCAGGCATTTGACATCAAGGCTAGAGCCCGTGAATCTGCTGTGCAAGAACATGTCTCCTTCGGCATAGGTCCGGTTGGTCAGTGGGTTAGTGTTATTGGATCTCCACTCCCAAGATAACTTAGTTCTATTGAGGTCTTTCAAGCTTTCTGAGTCTTTCACTGTGTAGATCTTCTGTCCAGGACCAATATATTGGCCATATTCATGAGGTTTGTAAAATATTTGGTTCTTCCACATATTCAGATCCAAGATCAAAACAAGGAAGATAATTCCATAGTTAAACCATTTGCCTGTTTGGAAAAAGGAAGTTGTGTTATCTGATATATCAAGTACAAATGCAGTCATATGTAAAAGCTACTCAGAGAAAAAACATCCTTTTTTTATTAATCTGTAAAGCAAAGTTGTAAGAAAATTTCCACCATAGTCAGATTTATGCTGAATATCCCCTAGCATTTCACAATTAGGCCTGGCCACATAACATAATAATTTTGTAATACAAGCACAGCAGTATACCAATTGAATTCACATTGCAGTTTGTTAGGTGACCTGTTGATTAGACCACTAGGTGATGTAGTATAGATCAATAAACCTAACAAAGCACTAATTCCAGGGCTTAAAAAATACTCACATAGAAATTGTCCATGAAAAGGCCATGTTTGATAGAGCTGTTCATATGCAAATCTACATGTCAGCATTAAGTGAAAGGACATTCACGGAGGAATGTTTCAGCTGGTGATGAATGGTATTCGACTATGCTGGAATCATATTTAAGTATGTTTCAAGTGAAAAAGAAAATGAACGTATCAGAGTATCTGTCAAATGACTTGTACCATTGGCTTGTAAAGAATAAATGGATTCCAGTTCTTGAAAGTCTGTTTGTTCAAATTGTACGACCAGAATGCTCCAGGGGGGTAAAGAGCATAACTCCTTGTATTTCAGCAATTGTGTTTAACGGTCCTCTTCAGTCTAGATTATACTTAGACTGAAAATGAACAAGAATGTTCATTCTTTTGTGCTATCGTCACTATTTAGAAATCAAACTGCACTGAAAAGACTTTGCAGCCAATCCTGTTCACATAATTCCTGAGTAACTCCTCTATCTTTTTTTCTGGGTGTTCATCAATATTATAACTGACCTGTTAAAGAAAATTACGGGTTTGGAAGATTATCACCACATTTCATAATATTTAAGTTTGTTAAATCAACACCAAGACACTGCTACAATATGAAATACAATAACAAACAATACAATCTAGCTTGACACTGTTTCCTGCGGATTTTTGCCCTGTATTTCGTGCGTTTCTCTCTCTCCATCAGAATAACCCTTGCTTCCCCATCATGCATGACCTTTCAATAGACAGAGACAGAATATATCTTGCATAGTGTGTGTTGATGGGCTGGCTGGGACACACACGTTCACTGATCAGTCGGTGGCTGTCAAACAGAATATAATGGCTGACTTCTTCCTGCTTTTTCCTCAGTTGGACACTAACTTAGATGATTCTCCTTTACCTAACCACCATGTCTTAGGACACAATGATAATGTCAGTATTTTTCAGATTCTGACCCTCTGAAAAATGTTTTTGAAACTGGCTCTGGGTTCAAAAGTTATTTGATGCTGAGTGTTGGATAGAAAGAGAGTGAGACCAACCCACACATGGCACATGATCACATAATTCTCATTTCCTTAGGAAAAGAAGCTAAACACAAATGACAATGAAACAAATATTAGAACCATTAGCTGTTTATCTATGGCCAGTTTGAAAGAAAACATGAATTACTGCATTCTAAACTTCCTTTCTCTGTTATGGTTGTTCACTTGGACACTTTTTAAAACAATAATTTGTCATCAAATACTACTCTGTGTTTCAAGCAGAAAGCAACCCCTTGCTGCATTGCCCTGAAGTTAATTCTTTAAGCTATATTCTTTTCCCAGGAAAATGCATCATAAGCCCATCCAAAAAACCCTTTCACTTTTTTTATTGGCTTCATCAAAATATTATCTGTGGCACTTTGTGTGTCTGCAGAGCCAAGACTTTCCAGAGAGATCTGCTAGACCCTAGGGATGGTAGGAAGGGGAAAAAAAAAAGACAACTGAAAGATCAAAATACAAAGCATAATGAAATGGGGACATTATTGAGATGGGCTTTATAAAGGACAAAACATACTGTTTGGTTTTCTTCCTTGTAGGTTTCAGGTACAACTGACAAAGGAAACGTAGACATCACAATGCTGAGCTATGACCTACCTCCTCGTTAGGCATGATGGCACCCAGTGGATTTCACAGCAATCACCTGTGTGACCACATTGTCCTAAATGTGACATGTGTAGAGAAGGCCACCTAAGGAGTAAGATGTGAGCTGGCAGCCTGCTGCTGGTGAAGAAGTTGACTAAGCAGCTAGCAGAAAACACTAGAAATGCTGAATAGAGGTAGCCAAGTACTTGATCTCAGGCTTCATGTAGTATCTATCCTACACTGTGGTTTCGTAATTGTGAATCTCTTCTAAGATGGATCTGTCTGAAAAAGGCTCCACCACTCTTACATTAAGAGTTTGAGTGCTCCCCTGATCTAAGAAAGAGACGCATTTCAATGATTCCTGTTTCATAAAAAGCATGAACTTGAAACTCCCTCACTCAGCTCCTAGTCAGAGTGAGGCAGGCAGGAGCACAGCCCTAAGCTCTGCTTTTGGGATCGCTGGGTCCATGTGGACTATAAAGGGATGCAGACACCCCAGTTAACTAAGGTGAATCGCAACCGGTATGTCTTAAGTGGCAGCTAATTGCCCGAGACCTGCCTCAGTTCTACAGTGGATCATCTCAAAACTCCTTAAATTTCTCATTTCTAGACAATTTTTCCATCCTCTGCATTACTGTCATGCTCGATGAGCTCGATGATTTTTCCTTTCTTTTAAAAACCGTTGTCACCAGAACCAAACACTGTATATGAGTAAGTCTCACTATAACCATATATGAACACAATGACATTTTCCTACTCCTACTCAGTATTCCCTGTAGCCAAGGGCTGTGTTAATCTCCTTAGACACAAAATGACTGGGAGTTAGTGCTGTCTTGGTTACTTACAGAAAGTATTTGCCTCTTTCTAGAATACAGTGTCCTGTGCTGTTTATTCCTCTCCCAAGACATGTACTTTACTGCTGTCCTAGCCAAATAAACCCAGTTTATCAACTGAAGCGGACTGAACCAAGCAGCCTGACAATCTCCACTCACAAACATCTATTTGATGATAATTCCTCATAACAAGTACTTTCTGAGACTTATTATAGTGACCAACCTTTAACATTATGCACATGCATAATCTAGGTATATGGAATGATTGTCTATTGCAACTTAATTTTAGCATAATGGTTTTTATAGCAAACTTTAAGTCATTTATGAAGCTTATAAAGGAAATAAGCTAGGTAAATTAGAAGTCACTCTTGACATCTCACCTTACGCATAAACAAGCTCAAGCTTATAGTTTTTCAAAGAGACAGAATAAATATATTATGAAGCTATAGATAGTCATTTTCTTTTATATATATATCCATCATCTCTTTTATGGTGCTTCAAATTTCATTACAGATGAAAAGTGGTACAGCAAAATAGAGTCCCACACTATGAAGTGATTTCATTTGTCTCTTAACCAGTTTCTGCAGGGTCAGTACCACTATTGCTCTAGGACTGGTTCTACTCCAGAGAGGTCTGTGTGGCCAAGAATACTGGCCTTCACCGGGCACCATTTACCACTTCTTGGACCAGGTGGATTTTTCATAGACAAGGTTTGAAATGGCAGGATGTAGTAAGATCAGCTCTCAAGACTGGAAGGCTAGTCAATCATTTCATCAAACTGCAAAGAATTATACCCAGACTTTTCAATGAAGTTACAATGAAGAAAAGCAGGTGGTAAAATAGGCTGTGTCATTCAGCCATGCAATATCTAAGACCAGGCTGATAATTGGCTTTTACAGCGCTGACATCCTTAATGCTACACATGACATATGGAGAGTCAGAAATCGGGTTTGGTGAATTTGGAAATGTGGTGCAATATTGAAATCTCGTGTGATAAAGATTCCCAAAAAGAAAAAATTGGATGTAGCTAGCTAAGAGCATGCACTGGGTGTCCTTGTGAGGCTGTGGTGCAAAATGTGAAACCTTTTTCTAGCCTTTGTGGTCTACAAGCCACTATTTGGGGATGAAAACTCAAGCTGTTTTCTGAGAAAGCATGGCTGTTTTATCCTCATGGCTAGGGCACTGACCAGAAGGGACGCCTTAACCCTAGAACAATCTGCACTTACAGCCGTTTGGACCTGCATTGTAGACCATGCTCGGAACACCAGCCTATACAGGACCCTGCTTAGAAATGCTTTCCCCTCACCACTGAAGCTGAACAACTGTGCACTGCACATGAATGCCAGGGGCCTTCTCATGGTGAAAGAGGTATGGATTTTTCTTTTTCCTTTTTCCATAAAGGCACCTATTTTCACCAGCTGAACAAGATATTTGGGCAGTGGTCATTTTTAAAGAGGCTGATAAGGTCTATGAGAGGTTCAGCAACCAGTCCACAATCCCATATGCAGCTGATTTACTGGGAAATTAAGGCAGATCCTGCAGGTCCAAATATTCCAAGCCAGCTGCTGATTCTGGAGCATTTTATCGGTGTATGTCCACTCTGTAACAGAACAGTCATGTCCTAAAAAAGAGATCTTGCATAGAAGCCAGTCCTCAGCATCCCTCCTGAGGTCAAGAGGAAATGTGAAAATTCCACTTATTAAGGCTAGACTCAAGCAGCTTCAACTGCAGCCTGGGGCTAGTGTAGGAAACATTGACTTTAGACTCTCAATTGCAATTTGTGTCTAAAAGCATGCAGACACCCCTGTAAAACTTTCAGGTATCTTCGAAACATTCTCCATATCTTCTGTCATGTTAAGTGTGATTAGCTAGACACATGCATGCAGACCACTCACAGCTGAACTAAGCCACAAATCCTCTGCATGTTTTTCACATCTGTGTGCATGGACACAGATTGTTTTTACCTCTAACCTTTCTATTTTTGCCCATGGGCTCCCTCAGGCTTCCCGGTGTAGGCAATGCTTGGCCTGAAGATTGGCACACTTTCGGTTTAACTCCTCAAGCCAGCCATGCTAGGCACTTGGCAGCCATGAAGATGATGATTTCTCCTTTGGGTGGAAGGGCACTCTGGCTAGATCAGCACTCAGAAACATGTTTATAAACAGCCAGAAAAATCTCCCATCTGTCGTGATGCAGGTAAGAAGAATCAAGAAACAATCTGAAGGAACAAAATTTACTTTTAAGTTTTACAAATTTCCCTGGGTATTATAGAAACTAGGATAGACTATATATTTTCATAAACAGCAGCCCAAGAAGGAAAACACACACTTTGTAATGAACCATCTGTCAAGGGAAATCCAGATGCCTTAAGCAGATGCAGGAATTCAAGTTATTTTTGATGTTCATAGATAAAAGCAGGTATCAAAACAGGATAAAAATATTTAATACTGAGTAGATGCTTGCTAGTTGTTCCTAGATGCAAAGAAACTTGAGGAAAATGAGGTATTCAGTTACCAGTAAAAATAAGATATGCTTTTGGTAGCAAATTTAAAATTACACCCAAGCATATCAGCTACAGGCTGCAGATGTTAATTCAATATTACTGCCAACTTACAACGTTCAGAAACCACGAGTGACGCTTAAGAAAGCATGATATTAGTTTAAAGTAACAAGATGTGTTAAAAATAATACACTTAAGTACGGTTTTATTTATTTGCCTTTTTAGACATGGAGTTATGCAGAAGCAACATTTCATTTTTTTTTTCTCTGTAATCATGAGCTTTATTTTACGAAAGCTGAAATTCTCATGTAGTCACTGAATTCAGGAGCTAAGACTTTAAGACAAAATAGCCAACAAAAAAAAAGAAAAGAAAAGAAACCGTCTTAAGACTTGTGATAAAATCAGAAGAGATGGCAACACAGATGATGTAACTGAAATCCTTCATCTGTACAGAACTGGTGTGAAGCCATTAAGCACACACCAACAGAAAGGTGATTTAAAATCCTTTACTCCTCTGAATGTCCTTTCACTTAGAGCTGCTTCTTTGTGGGACTGTTGCTCATTAGAGCAACACAGCACCAAGTAAGGCTGCTCAGAGAAGTCCTAGGGCTGCTCTTATTTATATCAATCAACAGTGACCAAAACAGACTGTAAAAGAACTTATGAAGAATAAAAGTTGCCAGGAAAAAGATGGCAAATGTTATTTCAGCCATACTTGCTTTCTTCTTGCTATCTGGGAGAAATGGTTTTCCAGTTTCTACACATCAAGGCACAGGTCATAGATTTACAGCCTGACTTTATCCCTATAGCAAGTACTAAAATAAATTATACTCAGGCCTTGAATTTTCCTGCTTGCTACTAAAAAGAAGACCTATGGTTAAATTTAACATCCTGGATCCCATATATTAAACCGGGCTTCCTGCCCCTATCAGTGTCCTACACCCATGGCACCTGCTGCAGTTGCATTCATGTGCATCACTCTCTACACTCATTTTAGATTGGATTACATTCATCTTGTTATACATATATTCAACCACTTCTTTCTTTCTTTTATTAGCTCCTTGATTTGAGTAGAAAATTACAAGTATCTACACATCCACGCAGTAACTAGAGCTTGAAAATGATCCAAGATGATACCCTAACCTAAGACAAGAACTGATGGCAAGAACAGATGGCTCAAGCAAAACTTACCCAAAGGGAGGTTCTTGTGCCATGTGTTATGGCTGTTTATTAGATCTCCTAAAGGGTGGTGTAGCACCGAGATAAAATAGGCACTCAGTAGATGGAGTACGTGATGTGCAGTCAAATGGATTGATTTGTCTAGCGAATCTAATAAATGGATCTTGTTAATGCTGAGCAGGGAAAAATATTCCTCAGCTCCTATTCATTAGCTCATCCTCATTAAAAGAACGCCTTCTCGCCAGAAAATCAGAAAGGCCTCCAGTCCTCTGCAGAAGACTCTAAAATGCATAAATATTGGTTTCTCTGGGTTGGTCTGTTTTCAAACAGCAGCACTGCTAGCAGTTGTATTTCTGATCCCTAATTTATGTTCTTGCTGTTGCTTATTCTTTGCTCTTCCCTGATTACCATCAATATTCCTGTCTCTTCTACAATGCAAAATTGTTTTTTGCTCCTCAGTCCCTCTTCTACCACACATTATTTTTCACCTACATTAATTATACCCTGAGTTTCTATATCTGATGGCACAGCCCACCCTACCATGCCTCAGTCATTGCTCATGCTCCTCTGTGCACCCACTCCACTACTTCTTATACAATGGAATAACTGCAGGGCATCTGGGAGCCTTGTGAACTGAGCCCCTCCAAATTAATCCTCTAGTCTTGAGGAGCAGAAAAAAATCTTTTTCACTATCCCTGAATACCATGCCTATAATTCACATCAAACGTTTATACTCTTTTTTTTCCTCTTCTTTCCCTTTTTGCTCACCTGGGAGAGAAAAATGTGTTAAACATATGCATCCCATCTTCTCTCACCCTATGCCTTCTAGTCACTGACCATGAGATCATTTACTTCATCCTGTTCCATAAACCACTAGTGGCTCAATCGGTCTCACTCAGACGTGCCCCAGCCCTTCTTTCTTCTTGCTGTCTGTCTGTTCCCTCTCAGTTTTCCAGCAGGGCACCTACATCCAAATTTGAAAAACTTCCTGTCTCTTCATCTGTACTTCTGACTGGCCCATTTGCCTTCCCTCATTCAATAGCCAGCAGGTAACTTCTGCACTCCTTTTCTCTTATTTTTCTGGTTTTTAATCTGATCACTCAGTTTTCTACCTTCATTGCTGAAAATGCCTTTTCTGAGGCCTCATTCAGCCTGTCCCAACTGAGTCCTGGGTTCATCATTCTTTCCTCCTCAGCACATTTTCTTCCCTTGGTTTTTGCTGCCTGGTGTGCTTGTGACTCACCTGCTAGCTCTTGGCCTTGTCTTTGTATCATCTCTGAACGCTCCTTTTGTCCCTGCTCTGCAGGATTTTCATATGGCTGTGTCACTGGATGCCCTCGTCTATCTTACTCCTGTACGGTATCATGTTTATATTAGCAGTTAAAGACCCCTGTCAATTCACACCTGCATTCTTTTGCGATCCATTATTATCCAATTCTTCCCATTGTAAAGAAAGGAGCTATGTTCCTTCCCCATAGCTTGAAGGTAAACCCAAAATATTTATCCCTATTTAACCTTCTTCTCTTTTTCACTCCCTACTGTTATTAAAATACTGTTTCACAGTATGCAAGGATCAGGTACTTTGTATCTATGTGTACCATCCATTTGAATAACTGCAATTCTATTTTATTTGAGGTTATTTAACTGTCTGCTTCTGGTTAGATGACTGATGGAAGTATGGTTATGCGTGGCCTTTGCCAGATGAAAATGACCAAAGTTATGAAAAGATATTAGCATAAATCACAGCAAAGGCATCTGAAAGCGTAAGAGATTTGAAAATGAAATAAGCCTCTAATTCCCCTGGAGAGCAATTTTAGATAAAAGATCTCTGAAGCTACATTAGGTATTACTTAGTGTCACAAGAAGTTGCTGAAATTCATGAAAAACAGCAGGTCTCTGATTCATAAGATAGAAGTTCCTCATTTCCCTGAGATATATGGATATATGGATGATATGGATATGGACAGATAAACAGGAAAATAGTAATCTGGGACACACACACATGAAAAGTCTGTGGTTAAGAACACGTTAGCACACACTTAGGACACAGAAGCAGTTCACTGTGTGACTGCCACAACCTGTAAGATTACATACCTGTTATATGTATGTGATATTCCTCTTTGAAGATCTTTTGGAAATAAGGTACTTTGAACTGCATGTGTGCAGATGGCAAGCCTGGAAGATTCACTTCAACATCACCCATAAAATGTGGAAACTCCCAGTCCTGTTTAAAAAGAGAAAAGTAAGAGCCTAAATATAAGCTTTCACAGTATATTTTTGCCCTTTAAAATGGCTTAAATTAATAAAAGGGAAAGGTTCTATTTTTAAGCCTCCCATTATTGGGTTCTCTTACTTTAAGTTTGACTGAACCACTTGAAATAGAATGCCTTGTTTTTATTAGATATTACAGTATGATTTTTACTTCAGCTCCATGTAATTATGTGTTTAAAAGTTCATTTCAGAATGACAATATTGAACCCACTGTACCAGCTGACAGTGCAAAATAGTCGAAGCATATGAATACCTGTATAGCAACCTTGCAATACCTGTTACAGCTTCTGTTACTAATTTGGCAAACAGTTTACATGTAAGAAATTGGCAAAGAAGGCCCGACCCTTTCAAACATTCCATATATCTATATTCTACTCATTCAACTTGTAGGGTGTTTTCTATATTTGGCCTTAATACACCTAAATAAACACTCCCTGCAAGCGCAGGCCCTTCAGCATAATCTGCCTGAATCAATCCAAGCACAGTTTTCTCCACTGCTGTATTTCAGCTGACAAAGTAATGCTGGAAATGTAGAAGCTCTTACCGACCATTATGTGTATTTGGTAGCATGTGGTCACCCAGCTGAGGGGGAGCTGCGTTTAAAGGAATTTTTCGCTTGGTTATCTGCACCCACCATCAGTCACTCAAAAATGGGTGTAATAGCATGGCTCATTAGAGCCCAGACTGAACGTCTAGCGATAGGGCTAGAATCAGCACGATTACTGCCGGAGTGGTTACTCTGTGCGCCGCAGGCTGTTGGTGAGGTGCTGTTAAAAACATACTGGCCCCGTTCCCATGTATACCCCTGGATTTGAATCCCACCAGTTAGTGCAACAAGCACTTGAATTACTAGAAGTAAGATAAAGGAATCTGAAATGTGAGGAGCTCTGTGAATGACTTGTGCTTCCTTCATATGAAAACCATTCTAGCTCAGCCATCTCCCCAACAGAACCAATTCCTTTTATTTATATTTTTTTTTCTAGTTTTATAAGGCTAGAAAGTTTCCTACCAGGGTAATGGAAAAAAAAAAAAAAAAAAAGATTAAAAACTAAGAATCATCTCTGAAAGATAAATCACTATATATAACTAAACTTCCAAGAATTGCTAAGCACTCCAACATTTTCTACAGTGGAAGGGAAATGGAAGAGTTTTATCAGCATGGAATAGCAGGGCCCAAACACTAACAGCGGCTGATTTGAGCCAACTCTTTGTGACACGGAGTTAAATGGATTAACAGGCGTACAAGCAAGGAGAAAACCTGGCCCTCTGTACCTGGTTCTCAATGTTCACAGTGATATAGAAAGTGCCAATTTACAGATGCAGAAGATAAGAGAAATAAGGATGCTCTCCTTTTGCCTTATCACTAACGCAACGCATGCGCTCCTGGTCACGAGGTATGGCAATAACTGCCCTGCTGCACAATCCCTTACGCTGCATCTGCGACCATCCCCGTGCAGGCGGTAGACATTAAAAAAGTTCCCAAAAATAAAAATTTTATGAGTGCACACTCTCAGTTCACAGTATCTAATATACATCTCTGGACTGGTGTCTCACGTTAAGTCATGCATACTCTCACCCAGGAATAAATAGGAAGAAATACATTGCATATTCCTGAAGATAAACAAACGGAGAGCTGTGGACTCTGCATTAGAAATAAGTAAACATGGGACTATGGATCCGACCTCTTGCTCTTGCCTTGCCCCAGTGCTCCTCCCTGTACCTTTTGCTGATTTACAGGTAAAATTCCACCATACAGAATTTTGTATTGGACTGTGTCTTTGCATTTGAGTTTTATGAAAAAGTTCACCATTTTTTCTGATCTGTATGAATATTACCTGGTAATGAGTAACTAGAACGCCAGCTCTGTCAGATGTGCAATTTACTGTATCATTAGTCTCAGCAAACAATTGCTGAGACTGGAAAATATTTCATAAAACAAAAGCAAACCAGAGAGATCCAACCCCAACAGTGTGTTACTGATTACTTTATAACAGACAGGTGAGTGGAGAGCCCATTAGAAAAACACCTATTTGACACCCCAAGCTACAGCTACCTTTCATGTGCCCATTATTTCACATTTTCTACATGTATACCCCATACTTTATGAAGCATGCCTAAATTGTATCATGGCCTCTGTTACCCCATAGCCCCATAATATGGTATTGCCATTGCCAGAGAGATGGGCACAGGCTGGCACTGGAGACCTCACAGCTATAAGCAACTCCCCAGTGCTCAGCTAAAGAAATGCAGATCTGGGGCTGGACAAAACTGCTTGTAGGAGTAATGAGGAGAACAAAGAAGTATCTAACACACATGAAAGGCACTGTGTATAGTAAACGCATCTGTAATGTGGAGCTTCAGATCAGTGAAGAAACAGCAAGGTCTAAAAGTGTGTTAGCAAATGTAAAAATGCCCCCAGGTAAATCCTAGAGCGAGGAAAAAGAAACCCTCACGATGAACATCACATCCAATGATGCACTGTAATGCCCCCACTGACCCCCACCAGGCTGAAATGGCCGATTTCAGGACCCGCAGGAGCAAGGGGAAGGCAGACAAAAACACCAGGAAAAGCGGTAGAAGCCAAGAAGTGGGTGTATAACAATTTTGACATTATTATTATTATTACTGAAAGTTTTTTCCGCACAGCAGTGTTATTTTCTGCAATAATTAGACCTGAACTAGTAATGACCCTCGGATTACACTGTTAAAATTTAAACGATACTAATAATAAATTCTTGGCTTTATCTATAAGGTGTTTCTTCTTCACCCATAAAATAATGTTTTCTAAGAAAGTGTTGTCCAAAATCTTTTGACTCTGTTATCATTTTTTTTTCCTTACTGACAAGCAAAAGACAACTTAATTTCAGCAATTTCCAGCAAACCATTTTTCCAATAAATTCAAGGTGCCTAGTAGGAATAACCTACCTTATTTATTAATGGGTACACTAATAGTGCAAATGTACAAGGCCCTAAATCTAACTGCTTCCCTCTCTGGAATACAGCTCAGGTCTGCATCACGCTTCATACACGGTATTTTCTCTCCATGGTCTCTGATATCAGTCTGTGCTCACCTCTGGGACACGAGTGACATACTCTATGTTCTTTAAGTTCTCAGCTCATAATTATGCAAAATTCACTTGATCAGCTTTAGTCCTCATTGCTGAGGTGCCTGTACTCTGCCATATCTGGGATCTCATTAGGAACTGGGCCCAAGATACCATACTTAGAATGTATCTCTACTTGCAGAGTCTGAAAAAGAAAGCCATACAACCATCTTGTTAGCTCATAGTCGTGTCTCTCATACTGCATGAGCAGATTGTTTCTTCTTTAAGTCCATCAGCATCAAATTTCTAATATTCATCTACTGGAGTGGTTTCCAAACCTGGGGGGTCTGCAGCATACCTCTATGCAGTTTATGAAGAAGAAACCAACCCAGAACCAGCAGGCTTAAATCAGCTGCACAGAGGTCTCTAACCTCACCAGCAAGTTTTGTGGGATGTGGAAATTAAATTAGGTTATTGTCTCATTTCACTCTAGTCATGAGGAAAGGGCAGCCAGAGGATGAACTTAAAATCACTGAGGGGTTCATCCTAGTGTTGCAATGGGCAAAGGGAGCACCTCTGGTTTCCATCAGCTACCTCAGTAGACTCAGAAGCACAGACAAAACTGGATGTTGCAAAAGAGGAGATCATGGTATTCTGATTTTCTCCTCTTTGCTTCTAGTTCTCCACACCAAACAAATGCACACACTCTCTGCTGCAATGCAAGGTATTGGCTTAAGACCCTACAGCAGAGCTGGCAGCACTGATTTGGTATCTCTTTAAGTAAAGATATTTTCAGCAATGGTAAATCAGCATTAAAGCCACACTTTCTGATATGACCTGGCCCTCCTCTGCTATCACCTGAGGAAAAGAGAAGGCATTGCCTGGGTTAGCCCTGTCCTAACCCTGAGCCAGGACAGATGGAGCTGCCCTGGGTCCTCTGGCTGGCTGCTGGCAAGGCAGCTGGCTGGCTGCAGGGTTGCTCCTTGCTGCTGGGTGTTTTTTTATTGCAGGCTCTGGGCCGTGTCTCCCAACCCCAGAGGACCAGGACCAGGTGCTGGCAGCATTCAGCAAGGATCATAAGCTGTCTGGGAGGGCGACGGTAGCCCTCAGCAGATCGCATCCCATGCTTCATGCACACACAGCCCCACATCCCTCAGCCACCAGCCCCTTTTCCACCCAGGGAAAACAGCCACAGAGAAGGTGGGACTGGGGTTAAAAACAAGTAATGATTAACGGTCAGCAAATGTGCCTCATTTTCATCTCTCCTCCAGTCTGAATGTAGCACATAGGGTGTTTGGTACACATTAAATATGAAAAAACACTTAAAATAATATAAACACTGTTCAGATATACTCACGAAAGGACAAATGCACACTGAATAGTTGTCCTTTAAGTAGTGATGATATATGCTATATTTAATTCTAGGAACACATTTGTATTTTAAACCCCTTGGAATAATAAATAAACAAAAATAAGAGAAGGAACTGAGAAAATGCATATATATGAATGTATATATGTGTGCTTGTTCCAAAAACTGCCTATAGCAATTTTTTACTGAATTTATTATAATTCTTTTAACTTATAAGGTAGAAGACTTGCATTTTCAGGTATCTTTGCATCTCTTAGATAGCTTTGTTTCAACTGTTAGAAAACGGCAAACAGGCAGACAGCTGGAGAAAGTTTAATAAGAGGCAACAGCTATATATTTTTGCAAGTGTTTGAAGTAAGAAACGAACAGCTGGGATTCAGAGGCAAAGGCCTGACTCCTCTGTGGTTCTCTCTAACTTCACTGCAGTGCTGCAGCTTGCAGTGATTTCTGCAGCTGAGATCTCTGCAGCTGTGAGCTGCTAAAGTACAAACATCATTTTAATATTTCATTCAAACATTCATAAGAAGGGAAGTCAGCAGC